GTCCAGCAAATATTTAGATCAACCATCGAAACTAATACCAGACTATGAACATGCTGAATTTTATCTTGACTTACTACTGTACTGACTACTTCAGCATGACAGGTTAAGTAGTGCTTTGGTTATGTATATACGCTTGCCACTCTGCTGCCTTTTTCTCACTCTCTTTTATCCTTTTCAGAACCCCATTGACGGTGGGAAATCCTTGGCGACTCTAGGGAACATGCACCCTATGTACATGACTTTCCTGATCACAGCTCGTATCAAGCGCGTTCCATTTAAACTTTCCCAACAAATTCATTATTGATCTCGGCAAATCGCCAAAAGAACCTATTGTGTATTTTCCTTTTTTATACTCTACTACTGAAAATGTGGCTGTATTATACTGTTTCTGTCAGTGACATGGTGTAAATGTGCTGTCAGAAACTGACTCTTATACTTAATTTAGCTGCGATAACTTTTACATTAGATGTGAAAGCATTTATGAAACTTTGATCTAGCCTGTAAAGTGGCGTGACTCTTGTAATGTAGTTATTTGAGAATAAATATATTATTAGTATTATTACCATCCATACAGGTATCATGAAATTATAGACGAATCCCCTTGTTCCCACTAACAGAAAAAAGTCACGCCTTTCCCTTCTACCCGCAACATTCGTAGTTTTCTTAAGGTTTGAATTCTAATCATTATCTTCCCATCATACACATCACATTTAGTTTAGATTTCCAGTAGTCGGATAAATTGAAGAACATGTAGATGGTGATCACCTTCAGTCAATTACAAGGAAATTAGGTGGTGTATCTGACCAGCCTTCATGACGGTGGGGCAATAAACTCAATCTACCTATGTTACCTATATATATACTGATGAATTGCTAATCGCATTATCAAGCGCAGATGAACACTATCAGCAACTTACACTCCTATTCCAGCGCCTTTCAATTAATGGAATAATCGTTATCCGGGACAAGTATATCAGAACGAGTTTAAAGGCAGATATATAATGTTCCGCCGCTGAATTGTTATACGTCACGACAGTTCATCTGCCTGGGGAATTTTTCACATACTGGAGCAGTGATAACTTCAGCACATCAGATTACGTCCAATGGTTGTCTGAATTTATGCGAGCAGTGCCTCCGGGGTCAACTCGAGCACTACATCGACAGGCCGCTCTCGAGAGAGAGTTATCTACCTGTTCCCATATTTTCATACGGGTCGATTCAGTACGAAAACCTTTGCAACAGCCTTAATAAGCACATTTTCACGTGATTTCTCGTCATGAGAAGGCCTTCAAGGTCACTCGACATGGCCGCATCGATATGGTCAGCACTGATCATCTCAAGCCAGCACACGTCGATGGAAGTGTCCTACTTGCTAGTCCGAGACCCAGTGCTATGCCTGCCAAACATACTAGCGGGATCCTTAAAGCTACTTCGGATCACTCGCTAAATGCATCAGAGACCTCATTCTCACATCCCAGTCAACAGCACTCGTCATCTGCACTATCTACGGATGAGAATCCGGTCTCACATCCAGATCAGCAGACCTCAGCGCTCTTGACTTCGGATGAGATTTACGGCTCACGAGGCACGCAAGAGACTATCGTCTTACGTTTCCGTCGCCGCATACTCGAATAACCACCCAGGTAACAACGGATACGTGATAGTACACTATCCTCGTACCACACGTATGCTACAATTTTCTCTTTTTCTTTAATTTTGTATCTTGAGCCCATGACTACGATCATCATCCTGTTGGTACCGTCGACTTCATTCAATCCTACTGAAAGCTGGCCTGATCATCCACGCTTTTGTTAAAGGACTCAGACGATGTTCTGGTTCCGAATGTACCTGGCATGTGTATGGTTTTGAACATGGTCGTTCCAGTCGTTTCTAGCTCCCTGGCTAAATCCGGTTCTGTCCTACATTTTCGGCTTTTTCTAGTCGGGACCGTTACAAATGCAATCTTCGGACTCCGGATAGGAGCCACGCTGGTGTCGCATGCCAACTCGAGCTCTAAACTTGGCACGTTACCGTTGATACAGTTCAACGTGTAAGAATCTCGTTGACAACTCGAGCTTCATTGGTCTCTTCCTGACGGTCAAACCTTCTGCCCTACAATCACCCGTTGACCAACTAGTACCCTTCCACACAAAACCGCTATGTATGGAAATTGTAAACCCCTTCTAGGGTGGGTTATGTAGTGGTTTACTTTTATGAAGGAAACACAATTGCTGTAATATAAACATTTGTTGTTGTGCTTAATTCTGACAATAATTGTTATATTGAACACCTCTTGTTTATCTGTACTAAAGACTATCTTTCGCGCGCCAAGCGTGTTATTCCCATTCTTTCCTTCGCACGTCTCCTGAATGGACGTTAGCCGTTTGCAGGCCCTCTGACCTCGATATTTTTTCGATATCACGAGGCTAGCATGAAATATACTTCTTTCTCTAGAATCGTCTTTCATTTCATTATAGATTGACGTGATTTTATTATCTGTTATCTCGCGAAGTGGTATATTATTCGATTCGCTACACATTTATGCAGACAGATATGAGAATGGAAGCCGTACAAGCAAAACGAAGCGAATTGGAGAAGGCGAGTTAGCCAATTCTCCAGCTTTGAGGCAATGAATATTTATTTATAGTCAGGCAATAATAAATCAGATATGTGATAAGCGAGTAAGCATCCGCACACAATCAAATATACAATAATTGATACTGTAATCAAATTATTACAAACATAAAAATTTTCGGTACATTTATCGAATAATTTGAACGATCAGTTGTTGAAGTACAATGAATGAATGGTGAGATGCTACATCATAACACTTGCACCAGTATAACGTTGTCGAGATCAGTGAGAAACATTTAATGTAAAAGAACAGAACAGTTTCAGATCACCACCTAGCTATGGAAGAATTAGAGGTAATCGTTGGGTAATTGGATAAGCTCTAATACGAATTTCGACAGGTTAATGCACTAAGTGAGCTCAAGATAACTTTCGGCAACTCACTTTGATTATTAAAAATAGAACAACACATATATGATAACTAAAGTAGGTCAAAGGTGGATGAACAGAATTCAAGTAATCATCAAAAACATCAAAAACATCACGTAATAAGCGAATGTGTAAAAATAAAGATAAAATAAAAAATATATAACTCAACTAACGATTGACATTATGCTTTTTTTTTATTTCTATTTTTACACATTCGCTTATTACGTAATGTTTTTGATGTTTTTGATGATTATTTGAATTCTGTTCATCCACCTTCGACCTACTTTAGTTATCATATTTTTTAAATTTTCCTACTACAATCGGTTCACATATCTTCCTACTATCCACTTGTACTTATGCCTGACTCAAATTGCCTTGATTGGTTTAACATTTTCATATAAATATTCATGTATATTAGAATAAAGCCTGATATTAAGAAAAACAATTTAGCGACAATAAAAGGAGCCGTAATTTCTTCATGTCAGGAGGTACTAAACACTGATAAACCGACAGGATCCAAGATGAATACAGACAGAAAACAACAGTGAAGGATAGCTTAACAAAACATTAGCAGGTCTAATACATACTTCAACAGAATCAAAACCATCATGCAGAAATGTGTAGAAGACGTAGAGACAAGGGCAGAAGAAGCTATCACAGCGGTAAAATATGAAAGAACTATATGGTGTAGTCAAGCAGCTGGTAGTGCGATTTAGTAGAGAAAAGTGGTCAATCAAATACAAGGCAAACAACGAAATCCATAAAACTCGAGTTCAGCGTAAAAGGAGGCTAGAACACTGGTGAACTTCTAAATTAACTGACCCAGCTGAATTGCGGGGTGTTGCAGTGGTGATAAGTCCCATGCTAGGAGGAAGGGGCTATTCAGTGCTACCAGGTTTCTAACGTTTGTCCGGAACTAAATAGTTAATGATATCAATGAAACTTAACAACCTCCTCATCCACATACTGAATATCATCGGAATACTTTTCCTTTATTTTGCCTTGCAAAAATCATCACTCTAATTCATTTACTCCTTTAAATATTCATTTTTGATGATTACGTTCGACCTAAGCAAATTAGATAGTCAGGCTCTGAATTCGAGTCCCATTTGAAAATAAATCAGTTCAAGTATTGTGCACCTTCCTCATTTGTACTCTACTATTGAAAATGTGGCTGTATTATACTGTTTCTGTCAGTGACATGGTGTAAATGTGCTATCAGAAACTGACTCTTATACTTAATTTAGCTGCGATAACTTTTACATTTGTGACAATTTGATCTAGCCTGTAAAGTGGCGTGACTCTTGTAACGTATTTATTTGAGAATAAATATTATTATTATTATTATTAGACTTCTCTACTTATTATTCTCCACATTGCAACTAACTGATCTCCGGCCTGGTAATGATAGCTGCTGGTACACAGCAACCCTAACTCACTGAAACAAACGTACTCATTTAAATCATGGAGTATACAAACTCGCAAACAACTGCCAAGTGACTAGACTTGGTGCAGTCGAGTGGCTAGACCCCTATTCATTGAGCAGTAGCATATGCGCGGAACCGTACAAAAAGAATAAGAATCGAGCGCAAAGTAATCACCTGGTTTGCACCAGCTCCCGAAAAAGATATTGGATATATAGCAAGTGTGTGATAACTTCAAAACTAGTGGTTAAGCTACAATGTGTTCTATCTTAATGTTCTAGATTGCACAATAGAACAAAATCCATTTTCACCATAATGTAAAATAAACCGATACAATATATTCAGTGTGGTAATACCTTAATTCTAAACCAATCTTTTAATTTATATCCTATCGCTGCGAAAACACCATGAAGTGAAATTACCAGAAATGAATTAGAAACAATAATAATATGACGTCCAAGTCTCTTCCTTACCAGCGTCACAAAGCTGTTAAATATATAATAAGTGTTGACTGTGATTAAGGATCAGATCCCAATAAACAAATAAATCGCTAAGTTGTTGAAGAAAATTGAAATGCCAATGATGTTGAAAATATTTCGGTGGGAAATTTAGAATTGTACGCTACTCTTCGTTTGTATGAATAGTAGAGTTCCTGAATTTATTGTTTGTGTGGAATGTCATTCATTAGTAAGTGGATTAAGTGCTTAATCAGATATATATAAAATTAAATTTACTTAGGTGGTACAATAAATAAAGCTCGGTCTTGTGAAGAAGCGCTTCCCAACCAGGAACTCAATCCAACTAATCATTCGAATTTTGAAGGTTACTCAGATAAACCTTTGATACCTGTTAACGAAAAACTTATTCACACCTTAGGTTTGAAAAATTTGAAACTACAGGACAAAGCCGAGCACTCTCCAGGTCACCATGAACTTATCACTTCCAAGTCTCTTGATAACATATTAGACTATCAAATGAGCTCAGGAAATGCGATACATGCACAGTCCCAACATAGGAGTTCGTTTTTAGACAATAAACCTAATAATTTTGAGAGCCCCGTCTCATCGTCTGACAGTTTAAATGATAAGAACTATCAAATTGAATTTTCAGACGAAGAAAATCTTCCTGGAGCACGTAAACGTTATAATCGACGTTTAATTACAGAGAATTCGGATGATCTATCGGAAAAGAGTGTCAGCTTAATGCACTCGTGTAGTGATCTCGACAGTTATTGTAGTGAGGATGAGGAAGGTGATGACATAGAGAATAGTTATGATTCCGCAGTGATTAATGTGCTAGATGGTGTAGCCGAACTTCACGTAAGTGCTAAGGAGGATAATTCTTTACCACGGGATGATGCTGTTACCTTAGATGTTGATGTCGATGTTGATGCAGATCAGGACAAAACCAATCCAGCGTACATACCTCGAGCTGGTCGGTATTATATGCATGACCATCGTACATTAGAAGAAGATGTCGTAGTTGTCAAAAAGCAAGAAAGTAGCCGACGATGGAAGCATGACAAATTTAACTACTATGAGCAAGCCCCGAGGTCTACAGAAGAAATTATATGGCGATATGGGTACGATATTCGTAAGGAAAATTTGTGTCCGTTTCCAAGCAAGATTAAACCTTGTAGTGGAGGTAACATCCCCACAAAACCCCTCATTTCTGCCAAAAATAATGAGGCATATTATTCCCCATCGCAGTCGAATAAAGAAACTGACACTAAAACCCGAAGCAACCTGTCATGTGGTGACCAAAGACAAAGAAGTCCACCTGAAACTCAAGCAAAAATCACATACCCCAGCGGTAGGTATAATAATTATGGTCGTTTTACTAGAAGTGATCGTCGTGCACGCAATCTATCCACACGGAAAGATTTAGTCGCTGACGAGTTACAAACTCTGCGTCATTCAAGGATTTTAAAGGAGGATTCTGTATCTGGAACTAATGTCCGTCATAGCCATCCCACTCAAACCGTAGATATCAGTCCTGTGTGTCCAACCGATACTCATGATTCGTCTCATAAACCTCAACAGGGTTTGAACTATTCGAACCACACATCCAGCTCCAATCTTTCTAGACGAAATAGGGGGGATTTGTCAAAGCCTTCGGTAACTAACTTTGAACGTGTCCATAGAAAACAAACTGTAAACGTAGTTCCGGTAAACACAAAAGACGGTAGAGTTTACAAACCTCGGGCAATAAATCACTCAAGTCACACACACGAACAAGTAAAGTGTGAAAGAGCCCCAAAACGGTATTCCACTGTTCGACAAAATGTCTCTAATATCGATCCATCTGTCGACAAAAAAGTCTCATCATTGCAGCTCTTATCTCCTGTGCGCACTAAAGAGCTGTGCGATCCGGTTAAAGTTAAAGACTTAAAGGTTACAAAGGAGAGCACCTCAGGGGACGCTCATGAAGTTGTTCAGTTGCCTAAACCTCCTACAGACTATAAGGGTGAAATTGCAAATAATAATCAGGTTTGCACCGAAACGACTAGTATTGGCTCGTTTAATCAACAAGAAGTAAACCCCCAATCTGTCAATCTGACCATGCATTCAGTTCCTGTCACACATTTCCAGCCCTCCATAGAATATAACACACGTATTCCCGCTGAGTTTTCGTCTGTCAATGCACACTTGCAAACCATATATTTCCCCAATATATTCCAGCATAATCCACGCTGTCAACCTCCAAGCAATGTTATGTCAAGCTTTGTACCCCCAAATGCTCACCAAGCTCCAATGCATCGTCTTTATGGAAATGAAATTCAAAATGTAGATTTATCAATCCCAGTTGCAACGACTCTTTGTTTTGATCATATGCCATGTGGAGCTACAAGTGAGTTTCCTTCTTTATGTTCTAATTATTCGCTGTAGAATTTATCTCGGTAATTCTTACCCTAAAATTCACTTTACCATAAATGAAACCTAGATCCATCAGAAAGTCTCCGTAAAAATTACTTAAATGACATATATTCTGTAGTCACTTACTAGCTGCTGATTTGTATGAGTCGACAAATGTAATTTAAGACAAAACAGTTTCCAACTAGAGACCTGCTACTAGATATAACTTGTCGGCTCCTTTTATCGAAGTTCAAACGACAATCTGGCAACTCCTAATTTTCACTATTCTATGTTGTTTATCAACATGTGGTACTTGGGGTGCGAGGTAGTAGGCGAACAGTTGATTTCAGTAAGAGTCCACTCAACATGATGAAGCATGTTTCAATAAATAAATTCAAAGTCAGATTTAGGGTTTCAAAATTTATGGTATTGTCAAGCTAGTCATTTGAAACCCACGCTATATTTATTCCAATCAAATCCAATAAATTATCACTTTTTAAAGAATGCATAGAAGTTCTATTATTATTTTACTTTGACATTTCCAGACGATCCCAGTCGAACATACGTAATGCATTTAGGTGTAGCTGCAATGGAGCCGCTTTGGAATGGTGAAGAAAAGCCAGTGCTCAACCGAAAATTCTCAAAGAAACCATTAGAAGTTATAGATCCTCGGGACGGAACAAGAGTTAATAAAGTTGCACTTTCTGAAACATAGTCACATCACTCAAATTGTACTTGTTCGATTAACAAATTTCCAGATATCTGGTAAACATGCATGTATATTTACTGACTCGAAAACCAGTAAATTATAGAAATTATTTATATGACTTCAAAATGTAGATATAACTTCCCCAGTTCATTGTAACTAAATGTTTCAAATTTCGTGCTTCTCTAAATTATTTCCAGTGTAGTTACAATTGTGAACTATTCTTAGAATGTTTCAATCAAATACTAGTTGCGTACATCTTGCTTAATGAATCTGAGGTACGTCTAACATGAGTCACTACAAAAATGTGACAATCATTCAAAATGTTTTACTTACAAAAATGATGCTTACAGAACAATTATTTACCGCGAAGCAAATGTTAGTACATCCATTTTGAGCACAGACATAATCAAGATTACTCTCACGTACGAGTTAAGATAACACTATCATTACATTTTTAAGTTGGCTGATATTGCTTTCTAAATGTAATAGTTAATAACTGAGCACTATTTGTCTGTTCTCCAAAATCAAGAACAAAAATTATCCAGTGATGGCTCGTGCAAACCCTTTGATTTTAAGTTTATTGGCATCGACTAGATATTGGACTCCTAGTCAGACCGTTGGAATATTTTTAGTAATCTAGTCCGACTGTGGCTGTTATCTTGCGTGGTAGTCGGACTGGCCTATCGTGATGACCCAGCCGAGGTATAGACTGGGACTTATGTTCCTGAAGGTTCTACCATGCCAGGCAGGTCGATCGGAGAACGATGAGACTAAAAGCAGCTACTCAAGGTCTGAGGGCGAAGGGGTGTGACAGCAGTAAGGCGTTTCCCTCGGACAGCCAGCATCTGCAGCGTTGTTGCCTTCTCACAAGGAAGGAATGGTTAGAAAAGGTCGACCCTAAAAATGTCACACCTTAACTTACGGATTTTCATCTCCGGCGGTAAGGGCTGCCCACCAAGGGCTTTAAAAGAGAGAAGCTAATACTCAAAAAACCTTTCATAAAACGGCCGTGCGTGACCGGCCTCAAGCAGTTGTTCCTTGGACTTTGCGGTTACGCTCCCAGGTAGTTAAGACCGACGCTAATCTACCTTCCTTTTCAGGTTCCTCAAGAGACACGGTGTGGGCAGCCGGGAAGTGACGAACGCCCTCACACCCGTAACAGCACGCGAGACCGAATCGGTCACAAACAAATCTTTCCTACACCCCCTAATACCTCTCTTATCTCCACGACTAACTCTTCTCACATTCCTTTATCACACTGCACAGCTAATGCAAACGATGCGAGTTCACGAAACGTCATTCCTGGTCTCCTGAAACCTCGTTCAAAACCACATGTTTGGAGCATTTAATGTACGGACATTTTGTCAAATAAGACAACAAGCTTCCTTAGCTAGGACTTTAGAATCTCGTGCCATCGATATATGCTGCGTTTCGGAATCGCGCATACAGGATCTTAGGGCAGAACTAGCTCCCCTAGGCTGGATCCCAGTACATAGTCGCTTGTGCGCCGTCCGACTAAACGGGATAGTAAGGATTCGAAAGGACAGGGACACTCGCTATCGCCTCTGCGTCGTACCTAGCTATGCTCCCACTGACTGCAGTTCAGACGAGATCAAAGATGAGTTTTATAGAAAGCTTTCGGACCTCCTCCAAAAGTTAGGCGCTCTGATGTAGAAATAATGTCGCTTCGGTACCTACACTAGTGATAGGAATATAAGTAGTTGAGCGTGCTGACAACTTCACATATCTGTCGTCTCTCATCAGTGTGGATAGCCTAGTGACTGACGAAATCTCAGCTCAATTGACTTTTGCCAACCTGCGTCACTTATGGAGCAGGCGAGATATCCGTTTGCTGACTAAAGGACGAGTGTACTGCGCAGTAGTTCGCTCCGTCTTACTTTATGGCTGTGAAACATGGCCTGTGAGAGTAGAAGATATTCGTAGGTTACTGGTTTTCAACCCCAGGTGACTTCGAAGCATCGCTCGAGTATCGTGGGACTCCCGAGTAAGCAATGCTGTTGTTAGGAAACGAGTACTAGGTACGGACGGCAGGTCAACAGATGAAATATTGAAACTTCATCAGTTGAGGTTGTTGGGACACGTGCTGCGTATGCCTAACCACCGACTGCCTCGTCGATCTGTATTTTGCGGTGTAGGAATAGGTTGGACGAAAGCTAGAGGCGGCCAGAACAAAACATGGCAGAAACTCATGAAGTCACCGACGAGTAGACTGAGTCATCTCGGTAGGTGTCGACCACCTGGTTAGGGTCCGCGAGATTTTAGTAATCGATGGTTAGAAACCCTGAGTGACATGGCTCAAAACCGTTTGCAATGGTGCAGGTACATTCATTTTTTGTGTTCTCTCAAATCCTAAACTTTTAAATTCTTCATCACTTTATCGTTTCAAATCTTTTGCTCAAGATTCTACTTCTTGAATATTATCTTCTAATCCTAACCTCTCCTACTACTGCTAGTACTTTTACTACCTCTACAACCATGGGATTTGAATTGACAATTACATCTCTGTGCATGTGAACTGACGTATGTACGTACGAAGTCCTACGTTGCTATTGATTGATTGATACTGGCACAGTTGAGCTCAGTCCTTACCTTGGTAATTAGTTCTCAAACATGGGGTTTTCCTCACATATTTGAAATGTTATGTACTTCTGCAAAGCTAACAGGATCCTGAACCTGCATCCGCTGGGAAACCGTTAAAAGTAACCGAAAAAAATTGTGTAACTGTGCAGTTGTGTATTGGTATGACATAAAAACAGTCTGCCTACGGTAAAAGCCAACCTGTGTCATTTTGGGCTCCATCGTGATGCTGCCGATCTGGTACTTGTTCTGCTATCTCTGATCTAAGAATCTCCAGCGATCATGTCTGACTGTCGGAATGGACAGCCTAAGATATGGCGCTCTGATATAGAATATAGTTGTCTATAACTACCACGTCGTTTCGGCGCAACTTCCGTAGAAACCATGCTTGAGACACTCAAATATAGTTCAGAAATGAATCTGGTCGGAACAATACGGTTGTGTTCATTGAGAATACTTATAAAAAGTGGTTTTTATTGTAACTGCATCCTCCATTGAATAGCTTCATTGACCATTTTATTTTTGTGTGATCAGTTACCTCTTTGATAAAGTGCCTCATTATGCGAGATTTTATACTTCCTACGAATAAGTAAACAATTTGCTTGTGAGTGACGTAAGAAACTTGAATTACAATACTTCTAGTTCCAAACAGCTAATCATATTTTGTATGTTACCAACATTTTACAAGAAAACACGTGACTGATTGCTGCGTTGTCTTTTAATGTCAGTTAATTTTAAGGCTTTTGTTAACAATTCAATGTCGCCAGTTGTCATGGTATCATTGAACAAATTAACGTATTTATCGTCAGATATCGAAAACATAAGCTACGAAACGTATTGGATTTGAAATTATTTTGAATCTGGCTACCCCCAGATTTCTTCGAGCCCGTTCTGATACCGCAAAAAATATCTAGTCGGGAATACGTAAAGCATGTCCCAACCATTTACTGATATGCCATCCTTACCTAGTACCCCTTTTTCCCAACAGCATTGCTTACTCGATAGTAGCAGTATAAGCGATGCTTCGAATACTAGAAAATAAAGATTATCCTCTAAACTCATTGCTCATGTTTGACAACTATACAGTAGAACGCAGCGAACTGCTGTGCATTTAGCTCGTCACTTATTCAGTAGATGTATATCTCGCCTACATCATAAATGACGCGAGTTAGAGAGGGCCACTCGAGCCTCTGTATCCATGCCGAAAAATTATCAGACATAACGAGGCTCGCAAGATAAGTAAAGCGGTCTACACGTTCAGCTACTTCATTCCCTATCACTAGTTCAGGTGCCGATGCAACCCAGTCTTGAAGCAACATTTCGCATTTCTACGAGGAGAATCGCATCCTAGACATGGTTGCATTGTTACTTAGGGTGGTCGGAAGACTGCATTTTATCAGCGTCTTCACCAAGTAGATGTCATCGGCAGATTCTAAGACAAGGAGCGAATCTCCTGGTAAAAGTTGAACTCTTGAAAAGTCAGATGAAAGTGACGTACCTAAAAGCAAGCCAAAGATGAAGTTAAACAAGAATGGAGAAAGCGGACAGCCCAAGCAAACATAACTTGGTGATCAAAACCAATGACGGTTCGCCATAGGCTCTCACTTAACCAGTGGTTTTCGAGTAGAGCTTGCATAAGGTTAATGTACTTCTCTGGTACACCTTTCAATGGCAGACACTTCTATGAAACCTCACGATCGACGGAGTCGTATTCCGCCTTGAGGTCGAGAAATTCATTTATTATGGGACTTCTAAACGTGTGCTTGTTCTAGGACCTGACGTAGTGTGAATGTCTGGTCTATACAGCCAAATCTAGGTCGAAAACCAGGGTGTTTTCTCGAGACTAGACAATCAATGATTGAGATCAGTCAGAAGTTTTTTACGTCCCTTGCTACAAATTTCCGATAGCTTTTTCAACTTCATAAAGATTCGGAGGGCTTACATCGACTTGCCATTCGGGATGACTGGAGATCGTCGGTAACCGTAATGTTGCTGAGGGCCAGCTGAACTGATCCCTAGCGTTCTGCCAATTGATCCAATCTCCTGGATTGAGAAAGTATAATAGTCCCCTCCTTTTCTCACCTACAGCCGGATTCCTAACACCGGTTTCCTTGGTAAGTCGGAACAACTGTCTACTGCTGCCTTTTCCCATCCATCACTGTTCACGGTTATTGCGTAGACTTTTTAAAAGCCTGTGCTTAAGCTAACCTCGCTCATGTTCAGATCCAGGCGGGATGAGTTTACGAGCGTCTGTCATTTCGGTGGATGCTACTGAGATCCACGGCTTCATTCTAGCCTTACGGTTTACCTTACTGCTGTTTCCGTAGCTTCCTAGCGCTCGTGCTAGAGCTGTAGTCACCTTGAGCGTGGGCAGAGACGACGGCGTGTCCCTATCACTTCGAGTACTTACCGTCCCGTTTAGTCAGACAGTGCACAAGCGACTGTCTACCGGGATCCAGTCCAAGAGAGCTAGTTCTGCCCTAGTACTTAATACTATACCTACACCAGTGAGGGAAAGCGAAGCCGCAGCAGCGCTTCCAAACAGATGAAGAGTAAACCGAGTTGGTTTTTTATCTGGACAAGTTGAAATAAAATTAGTGATTCTACACGGCTTCTGTATGCGCGTTTCGAAGACTCAGCATACATCGATGGCACGGGATTTCAGAGTCTTAGCTAAGGAGGTCTGTTGATCTGTTAGGCACAAGGTTCGAACATTAAAAGCTCTAACACGTAATTTAGAGTGGCGCTTCACGAGACCAGGAATAACGTCTCGTGAACTCGAAACGTTTGCATCAGCGGTGTTATTTCACAGATAAACGGAAGAACTTCTGGTCTTGGAGATATGAGTGTTATTAGGAGATTTAGAAGGGTATGTATGTGAACGATTCGTTCTCGTATGCTCTTATGTGTATGAGGGCTGTTGTCGCTCTGTGGCTGCGACACTGTAAAAGTGCGCTTTTTGAAGAACCTGAAAACTAAATTGGGTTTGTCTGAGCGACCTGGGCGCGTGACCACAAACTTCTAGCTACAGCTGATTGAGACCGGCCACACACGGCCTTACTGCCGGAGACGGAAACCCGCGGGTTAAGGTGAGGTGTGACACTTATCGTCGATATTTTATAATCGCTTCCTTCCATGTGAGAAGGCAGTATCACTGCAGGTTGTCCGAGGGAAGTACCTAACCTCTGTTACACCTATCTACAGGCAGCAATACGACTTCGCCCTGAAACCTTTATTTTAGTCTTACCGTTCTACTGTCGACATTCCTGGTAGAACCTAAACGAACGTATGTTCTAGCCAATATAGCTCAGTTTGGTCATCACGGTAGGCACAGCCGACCACCACGTCAAGGTAGCAGCTACGGTTGAGACAAATGAGTTGGGAGAAATAATTTCATAGTCCGATAGCAAACAAGTTTCTAGAAATTTTCTTCGGATCCTTCGTTCGAGACCTTGACGTTTTATTATTGACGCCATCCACTGTGATAAATTATTGGCTTCAAAAATGATCCTAGCAACTTAAGCCTGATGTTATCAAGTGACTGACAGATAATAAGAACCCAGAGATTAGAGGATTCTTGTTCTTCTACTGTTTGCCGTGAAACTATCTAGTTTTTTGGCCAATGTAAGGATCCACAATGGAGCTAATGAATTATCAAACTGCATGAGGCTTATTCGTCATGACTGGCTTAATCTAAAATCAAGAATTGAATTTAAGGTCTGGTTGTAATTACTCAACTGGCAACGGAATGGGAGATAATCTGAAACACGTAAAGCTGTTACATACTTCCTATCAGTCATTAGAACAAAATTCGATTTCATTACTGACATGTTATTCCTACGTACAGTTAAATTATATTTCGAGTGTCACATTCTTTAGAAAACTACCAATAATACATGCAGCGTCCTTTTACTTCCAAAAGTTACGTACGTACGAGAAATGTGCATATTATGAGTAAAGGTGAGTTAAGAATGATAACCGTAGCACTACTGAGTAACACATGAGATTGAAAATAGATCATTAAAAAAACGCTTTACTGTGAAGTGAAAAACATGTACAAAAGGTATATTTCTTGGAATAGATCAGCGTTTTTTGAATCCATATTTCTTACGCTCATAAAATAGATCAGTTTTTGCACTTCCTAAGTTGACGATTTTAGGACACCCATCTCTCTAAATTAAAAATATATAATTAGGAAGTATCGAGAAACACTTACATCTTTTTCTAAACATGTGCATTGTCGACAGTAATAAGCGTCTGAAACACCTGGACCACCACATATGACACAACGTCCTTGATATGATCCGTAATTACACTCGTCACATATACGAACAAGAGTGCACGGGCGAACATATGAGTCACAAATAACGCACTTTCCATCACACTTTTCACATAGACGACCGATAGCTTTAATGAAGATAAGAAAAGAATCCAAATCTTACCAACACCTGGTTGCTTCCTGCAGAAAATAAGGTCTGGATGATGTTTTGCCATAATTTGCGTCTGAATAAAATCGTATAACGTTCGTGCTCTAGAAGATTAATAGTAAAACCACATAAAATGTTTATTTACTGATTGTCAAATGAAATCGAAGCATTGTAAATGGGATATTAATTTACAAAACCCATACAAATAAACACTTTACGATAAGGCTTAGCTAGGACTTTAGAATCTCGTGCCATCGATGTATGCTGCGTTTCGTAAACGCGCATACAGGATCCTAGCAAAATCATTAATTTGATTTCACCTTATCAAAACAAAGAAGCAGCCCGATTTCCTCTTCGTGTATCCGGTAGCCCTGATGTTGCTTCCCGGGGTCTCTGGCGTGGGTATAGCATCGAGTAGTAGAGCAGAATTATCTCTCCTGGACTGGATCTCAACAGATAGTCGCTTGAGCGATCTCCGACTAAACGGAACAGTAAGGACTCGGAAAGGTAAGGACACTCGCCGTTGCATCTTCGTCGTATCTGCCTACGCCCCCACTGACTGCAGTTTAGACGATGTGAAAGATGAGTTCTACAGAAAGCTTTCGGACCTCCTCCAAAAAGCTAGGCGCTCTGATATAGTATTAATGGCTGGTGACTTTAATGCTCAAGTAGGTAGACTAAGTGAAAATGAAAGACACCTAGGTGGATGTTATGGTGTCGCGGCTCAGAGAACAGACAATGGTGACCGTCTGTTGCAAGTATGCTCAGACAACCGCCTATTCTTAGCAAACACTAACTTTAGGCATAAGGAAAAACATCTTTTGACCTGGCGACCTCCAAAGTCGTCTCAACGTTGGACTCAACTAGATCACATCGCCATCAGCCACCGATGGAGAGGTTCGATAGAGACTGTCGCTCGTTCTGGGGCACATGTTAGATTCAGATCATGCCCTAGTGCGAGCGCGTATTTGTTTGAAGCTTACTGGGCGTAGGAAAGACACCGTAAGAAAGCCTCTTAGGGTTTTACTTAATGATAATAAGGCGAAAAATATATTTCAGGAACAACTAGAAAGACAGTTAGGCGACCATATAAGCGATTCCCATCCGGAAGCAGGATGGAATGATATCAAAAAGGCTGTGGAAACAGCAGTGATATCTGCTAGTAAGGCTAGAATGAAACCGTGGATCTCAGTAGCATCCACCGATCTGATGGATGCCCGAAAACTCAT